GGGAACGGAGTCCCCGCGGCCTCACCTTGGTGTGCCCGAACTTGTACTGGTTGTGGTCGATGTCGATGGAGCCCAGGAGCTTCTCGGCGCCCTTGCGGCTGTCGATGAACTGCCCCTCGGGGATGGCCGCGGGGTTCAGGATGCGGTACCTGGCGGCAGAGAGGACACGGCCCCCCAGTCAGCCCCGGGAGGGTTATGCCCCCCGCCCCATGCCCCACCCCCCCTGCCCACCGCTGGCGGAAGTCCCCGTAGAGGATGCGGTTGGGGAAGCCCTTGCGGCAGATGCGGATCCCCTCCAGGACCCCGTTGCAGCGGAGCTGGTGCATCACCAGGGCGTTGTCCATCACGCCTGGGGGGAAGGGACACAGGCTGGGGGGGTCAACCACGAGCCACACCCCCCTTCCCACCCCCCTTCCCGCCCTCTGCTCACCCGGCTGCTTCCGCTCGTTCGGGACGAGGCAGCGCACGAAGTGGGGGTGGGTGGTCTTGAGGTTGGCCATCAGCTTGTTGAGGTTCTCCTGGGGAGGGGAGAAGAGGTTGACCGAAGGGAGAGCAGGGGAGGAGGGGCCACGGGGTGGAGGGTGGGACCATCCTCCACGCCGGGGGTTGTCCCCCCTCCGCCCCACGGCGCGAGTCCCTCACCCGGTGCAGGGCTGAGACCGTCTGGAAGGAGGAACCTTTCTTCTTGGCTCCTTTGCCCTTCCCGCCGTCACCACCTGAGGAGAAGACGGATGGGATGAGGCGGGAATGAAGGCAACTCTAGTAGGCAACTGCCTTCTCCATCCACCCATCACCCACCGGAGTCCGCCCCGGCGTAGTTGGAGAAGAGGCTGGCCAAGAGCTTGAGGGCGGATTTCTGGTAGAGCCCCACGACCGTCTCGTTGAGGGGGTCCTTGTTCTTCTCCAGCCAGCCCAGGATGTTGTAGTCCACGGTGCCGGCGTAGTGGACGAGTGAGAAGTGGGCCTCGGCCTTGCCCTTGACGTTGCGCGGCTTCCCAAAGTTGGCCGACTTGCCCAGGTGGTTGTCGTAGAGCTTGGCCTTGAAGGTCATGTCCGAGGCCTTGGGGAACATGCACTCCTCCTCCAGGATGGACATGATCCCCATGGGCTGGGGAGGAGAAGATGTCGTTGGCCACGGAGGACGCCAAGGGCCACCCAAAAGTCACTCGTTGGGTCACTAACGGGCTCCGAGTGGACGGACCCTCCTCCATCAGCGCCCGGAGGCCCCGGTGGGGGTGGTACCTTCTCGATGAGGTCGATGCAGGCCTGGAGGTCCATGCCGAAGTCGATGAACTCCCACTCGATCCCCTCCTTCTTGTACTCCTCCTGCTCCAGCACGAACATGTGGTGGTTGAAGAACTGCTGCAGCTTCTCGTTGGTGAAGTTGATGCAGAGCTGCTCGAAGCTGTTGAACTGGGGGAGGGGAGGGAGGGGCAGAGGATGGGATCAGCGCGGTCAACTCGACCCCCAGCGGGGTCAGCGGGGTGAACCTGACACCAATGGGGTGAGCGGGGTCAGCTCAACCCCCAACGGGGTCAGCGGGGTGAACCCGAGACCCAGTGGGGTGAGCGGGGTCAACTCAACCCCCAA